AAAAGCTATTACTCACGTCGAGCAAGCTGAACGACCGGACCAACCACGCAAATAATGCGGAGCTAGATGTGCGGCACGCACAATGCATTGTCTTCGATTATAGAGAGGCGAGTATAAAGCAGTAAGGAATTGTTGGCCAAAGTTTCTGCAGATAGGTCTACTCGGGAGCTTAAGTGGGGTAGCAACCCATGGTGGAGCGTACATGAGAAGCTGGACGTTGGTGTACGCCCCATCCCGGCGTGTGAGTAGGATCTTAGGCTATGCAAGTCGTCCCTGAACTTATTGTGGTGAAATGACCTCCCAGGAGGAAAGAAGCCTATACCGCGGGATTTCGGAGATGATAAGTTCGGTGGTCGGGGGACGTCTGGGTGTTTACTAAGCAGAGCGCCCGGCACAAGACTGGGGTACTTGTGTCAGGAGGTGTGAAATTGGATCTAGACTACGAGCCTATGTTGGAGGCGCTATTTAGCGTCGGTGAGCCGGCAAAAGAACTGAAAGGAACCACAACCCCCGCCGGACACTCGGATTGGGAAGGCCGAGTATTCCGTATACCTTCCTGAATCAACACGAAAAACAAGTGGCCACGGTCCAGTTGCCGTAAAGATCATGAGAATGGTGAAGAAGCCGGGAGGACGGAAGCAGAAACTCTGGAAGGGAGCAAGTTGGAGCTGCTGCTGTTTGGGATTCCAAGGGACATGACGAGGATAGAGTTCAAGGAATGTTGTGACAGGGAAGGACTGCACTGCCTAGCAAGGGGACAAGTAGGCAGAGAACATGAACACTTCCGGGTGAAATTGACCAAGGGAGACAGCCAAGAGTGCTTGGGGGTTGATATCGAGAAGCTGTCGAACTACGTAAGGAAGTTTGGATGGAGGGTTTGCATCGCGAACATGATAGAAACAGAGAAGGTAAGGAGACAAGAGGCGAGGGCGACGGAGGCGAAGAAAGGACCGAGCGGGGGAGGCGAGCAAGCAAGTCAGAAGAAGTCCGAGAAGAAGCGGAAGGGGAACCNGTGCTTGGGGGTTGACATCGAGAAGCTGTCGAACTTCGTAAGGAAGTTTGAATTGCGGGTTTGCATCGCGAACATGATAGAAACAGAGAAGGTAAGGAGACAAGAGGCGAGGGCGACGGAGGCGAAGAAAGGACCGAGCAGGGCAGTCGAACAAGCAAGTCAGAAGAAGTCCGAGAAGAAGCGGAAGGCGAACGATGGTGTGCGCAAAATCTCCAATAGGGAAAAGCGCAAGCTGAGAGTCGGGTCGTGGAACGTGTGCGGGTTCGCAAGTAGTGAGCGCAAGCGGTTGGAAATAGTGGACCAAATAGAACAAAACGATCTAGATGTAGTGGGGATCCAAGAGACGTGGGAATTGAAGGATGGGGACGTGGTAAGCAAACTAGGGAAATACCGGTGGGTAGGGAAGGCAAGAAAGGGCTTAGACCCGAAGAAAAGGGGGGAGGGGGGAGTCGGATTCCTGGTCAAGGAACACTTGTTTGACGTGGTGGAAGTAGTGGTGAAAACGGAATTCGAGGAAAGCCTATGGCTTAAGATACCTGGGGAGCGGGGTGAGAAAGATTTGTTTCTAGGGAACGTATATGTCCCACCGTCGTCGAAGAAAAACGCAAGCAAAGCGCAGCAGAACTTTGGACAAATTGGGGAAGATGTCCAGAGGTTCAGTAGGAAGGGAGAAGTTGTCATGGTGGGCGATTTCAACTCCAGAGTAGGGAAAGCTTCCAGTAGAGGACAGGCGATCGG